GCTGTGGTAACAACTTAAACAGAATACTTCGTAGTAACCTTAAGCTACTGCGGCTAAGTTTTTTGTTTGTCTAAGTGCAAACGTTTATGAAAAGGCAGAGTTCCATCGGTCAGTGGAGACTTCGACAAAACTGAGGCTATCGCATATTTACTCAGCGTCGCCGCCATACGGATTCGTCATCGCCACTGGACCGCTGTCAGTGTTGGAGCCCGTACATTTCCATCGACCAGTGCAAGCGAAGCCAAACGATGGTATGCTCTTTTTCGGCGAAGCAACCGATCTGCGAATCTCCCATGCCACGGAAGAAGGCCTAAAACGAAAAAAGCTTTGCGTAAGCGCTGTAGACTCAGGAAACGACGCGCAGCACCTCTACCTCTTGTTCTCGTCCCAGAGTTCTTCCAGGTTCAGGTATTCGATGAGAGAGGTGAAGTCTTTGACATAGTTCTCCAGAATCATAATCGCCTCCTGCAGTGAGAAATCAACAGGAGCATGTGGCACAGCGAGTGATGAAAAGGTCACTCACTTTGCATGCGATTAGACTGCCGTCCACCTGGCAGATTTCGTAGATCGCATCGACAGTACGGCGCAAATTGTCGAACAGGTACGACCAGTACTGCGCCTTAAAATCGTCCACGCTTATCCCTGTCCCGTGGAATAGGACATTAGGTTTTTGATGATGTCTGACACTTCTGTTCGATTCGTTCATCGGGCACAAGCTCACGCACACTTCTACAATGGTACAGTCGTTGCGACTGCAATGCTGTACGCTTTACCTAGACACACCAGGCTATACATATTTAGCCGACAAAATATTGGTCTGCTCAAAACAAACGACGGCAAAATAACAGTCCTTCACAGAAGCTGCGTCTCCAGAGTGATAAACCTTTCCTGGAAGACGGCACAATGTTGCAATTATTCGAGAGGTCAAATATTCTGGGGTAATTTGGACCCTGTGAACCGAGTAACAGGTGCTGCATTCGAAAATACTCTATGAGCTGATGTTATCAACCTAGTTATGAAGAGACAAGTCTTTGACTACAGACAAAGGAGTGGTGTAAAAAGTAGAAAGTGGTGTATAACGTGTCTCGCATTTGAATCATTTCCGAAGGGCAGAGCACCGGAGGACTCGCTTCGAGATGGAAAGTCGCTGACCTAGTTTACTGCAAGTTTTTGCAGCGAGGCATATAATACAACGATTG